AGAGCCCCGCCCCCTGGTTTCAGCGTGGAGCCCCCGCCTCCTCCTTCTAGGATGGAGCCCCGTCCCCTCAGTCTAGGGTGGAGCCCCGCCCCCTGGTTCTAGGGTGGAGCCCCGCCCCCTGGTTCTAGGGTGGAGCCCCGCCCCCTGGTTCTAGGGTGGAGCCCCGCCCCCTGGTTCTAGGGTGGAGCCCCGTCCCCTGGTTCTAGGGTGAAGCCCCGCTCCCTTGCCTAGGGTGCAACTCACCCGCCTTGCCCTAGGCTGGAACCCGCCCCGCCGGCCTAAGGTGGAGCCCCGCCCCTCTTCCGCCCCCGCGGGGGCCAGGTGCACAGGTGGATCCCGAGCGGGGACGTGAAGAGGGTCTCACCTTGCGCCCTTCCGCAGCTGCTTCTCCACGGACACGCACTGGTTCTCTGGCCCACGCTGCGAGGTGGCCGTCCACTGGAAGGCGCTGGTCGGGGGCCTGGCGGCGGGCGCCGCCCTGCTGCTGCTGCTGCTGCTGGCGCTGGGCTTCCGGGCGGTGCGCTCCCGAGGAGGGGGCGGCCAGAGCCGAGGCCGGTGAGCGCGCGGGCTGGAGCCGGGGTGGGGGGGCGAGGGTGGCCAAGGGGCCCAGGCAGGCCGGCCCTGCCTGACCCCTCGACGGCCCCACCTAGGTCTTGGGACCAGGACGGGAAATGGTTCGAGATCTGGGATGAGGAAGTCGTGGGCACTTTTTCAAACTTGGGCTTCGAGGAGGACGACAGAATAGGTGATTCCTGCCTCCCGGGGGAAGCGGGCAGGGCCTTTCCTGGGCACCACTGCGAGGACAGATGCCCTCCCTGCCTTCCTCCAATCTCCTCCTTCCCCTTCTCTCTTCAGTTTCCTTCCTCTCCCCTTCTCTCTCTCTCTCCAGAGAAGGATAAAAATTTCAATGTGGACTTGGAGAACGTGGACACCACTATGAAGGTGAGGGGCTAAGGTGGTGGGCCCAAGGAGCTCTCCCAGCCTCCATTCCAGATTCCCCCCCCAAGCCCCACCAGGGCAGGGAGGGGGCTGGGCTTGCATCAGCAGTGACCTCCCAAACAAGTGGCTCCCTGTTCCAGTCCCTCACTGTTACTCTGCGACAGGTGCACATCAAGAGACCAGAGATGACCTTGTCCTCGGTGTGAACCCTGCAGTGCCCCCTCACCACCCACTCTGCCCTGTCCGGGACACAGGGTCTGCACTGCGTCCATTTCAAGAGGCGGCCCCAGAATGAGTGCAGCCCAGGCTCCTGCTGTTCTTGGGCACAATGAGACTGTTCCCGCAAATCACATCCATCTCTTTCCAACCTGGCTGAAATGCACCTGGAAACCCAGTTCACATCTAGGCTCTTCCACTGTGGAAACTTGGGCAATTCAGTAACGAGCCTCAGTTTCCTCACTTGAAAAATGGGTGCAACATTCCTGTATGATACCTCATATGGCTGTTGTGAAAACTACAGGGGCTTGGCCTTGGTCAATTCTTGGCCCTGCTCTGCCCTCCCATCTCAGCCCTCATGTTTCCATTGCCTCCCTAGGATCCTCCAATCCTCTTGTCCTTCACCTGGTCTCCAGCCCTGGTTCCTATTTTCCCTTTCAATTCTCTACGGTCTGTTTCTTACCTTGAACCTGGAGGCAGCCTGCAGCCCATCCCATCTCCTGCCCTCTCCAGATCAAACTCCCTGATGGGTCTCTTGCTCTCATTCCTTGTATTTTGTCCCCTTCTGAGCCTGTTCCTTCATCCATCCTGTCCCCAGTCCTCCAGCCCTACATCTCCCCCAGTTTCTGTCTTCTCCCCTTCTCCGTCCTGGTAGCCTCCCCCCAGAATGCTTACCTCCTCCATCCCAGTGTCCCAGCCCTACATCCTCCCTCCTCTCCCACACCCCTGTCCCAAGCAACATCTAGATAGTCTCTGTGTCTTAGGATACCCCAGCTGCTGTTCCCTCCATCACCCCACCACCCTAGTCTCCATTCTCCATCTGTTTCTCTCACCCCTGGGGCCCCGTGGGTGGGGGGCAGGGCATGAGTTCCCCAGTCCCCAAGGAAAGGCAGCCCCCTCAGTCCCCCTCCTCCTCATTCCCCTAGACCTCCCTCCCCTCCCACCTAGACCTCTCCCCCCTCCTCCCTCGCTACTGCCTTTTCCCATCCCCTCCCTTTTCCCTCCTCCCCCCTCTCTCCCGGGTGTCACCTCAATTCCTGTGGTAACTCTGAGCCCTGAGATCTTCAATCTCCTTGGCCGGGAAGATCTGCTTTGGGGACAGGAGGTTGGCACATCTCCAGGTCTCCACGTGAACACAATGTAGAGTTGATTGTAAAAGAAGCTGCTCTCTGTCTCTGCCTTTCACCTCCCAGTGGTCTCCACTTGATTGGAGAACAGGGATTTCCAGAGACGGCGTTGCAGGAGGATGCTGGGAGCACCCGAGTCTCCCAGGGAGGAAGGAGGGGGTCTGTGGGTCCCCTTGGGGGCCATGACATTCCTCATAAAAACACAGGTTGGGGGAACCCATTTTGTTGGGGAGTGGCTTGGGACCCCCTGGGTTTTGTCGTCTGTGCTACCCCCACCCCCGCCACTGCTGAGACCTCGACATTGGGGTCTTAGGGAGGAATGAGACCCCTGGTGCTGGGTCAGGGAGGTGGGTGTCCCCGGAACTAGGGCCACCTGGTCCAGCTAGCTTTTGCAAGGACGGGTAAAGCTGGGCCCTCCCCAAAGATCTCGAGCCCCCCCCCACAAGACCCCAAACCCTGATAGCCAACGCACACAGCAGAGCCTGTCCATGCTGGCATGGGGCCCTTCTGTTCCTGCTGTCTTGGGCAGTCAGGCCTGCCTGAGGAGCTGAGGGTGATCAGAACTACCATATCCCCTTGGCCGTTTGGGTGCGGGCTTGGGAGAGGCCCCTGTGATCTTTGCCCTGGGCAGGGGCCCGTCATGGCCTTTCATCACCTCTGTCTCTGGGCAGGGTGGAGACCAAGACCATAAAGTCTCAGGAGTGAATGGGCACGCTGACCAGGAGAAGGACCGGAAGCTGGACATTTGGAAAGGACCATGTTGAGGCGGGGGATGGGGCAGGATGGCTGGAAGAGAGAGGGGCTTCTCAGGGGTGGGAGTGGAGGGTCCTTCACTTGGTCTGGGCTGTTGCCAGCTGCCCCTTCTGCGGTTTTGAACTTCTCCCTCCATGCTGACCTGCTCCCCGGGGCTTCTTGCCCCCACCTCCTGGCACCCGCGGTATGCTCTCACCTCTAGCCTGCATCCCTCGCTCCTGTGCGGCTCCGCTCGCAGTGACTCTGACTTCCCTTGAGAGAGAGACCCTAGCTCAGGGCGGTCACTGCCCCAGGACTTATAAGGGAGGAGGGTGGACAGGCTGCCCTTTGTTTAACTCCTTGTGGTCACCACCCGCCATTCACCTAAAGTTATCACCTCACCTCTACCCTGGGACAGGCACTGCCCTTCTTTAAGGCAAAAGTCTCTGGGGCCTTTTTATATATAGCTGATCCCTTCCTGGGAGGCTCTCATTTCTTGGCCTTCCTGACATGGGAAGACGGACAGCCAGAGGCCAATTCCCCTGGAGATGCTGGCGATCTGGATTCTGACGCTGGCTCTCAGGCTCTGCGCCTCCCTCACAGCTACAGCGACAGAGGGTGAGTGCTCCTGGGCTGATGCTCCAGGTCCAGAGTTCCTGCGTGGTCCTAGTGCATGCCCCACCCTGGGCAGCAGGGCTGCAGGTGGCTTCCCTACCTTTGCATGGGAGGGGCCTGCCACAGGGCTGGAGACCCATGCTGTGACCTCATCTTGCCTTTGGGGGTGATGAATGGCTCACTGCGGAGACCTGTGGGTGCCTGTGGTTGTGCAGGGGGTGGTCTGCATACAGCCCCTGGCCAAGGGGTGAGTGAAATCCACAGCTTCTGCTCTCCAGGCTTCCCCTGGGAGGACGAGGGGGCTTTTGCCACAGAGTGGTCTCTGCCTGCCCTCATCCTGGAGGCTTTAGCTGGAGGGCTGAGCCTTTCCAAACCTCACAGAGGCGCTGCATAGGCTGCCAGCCCTAGTTGGGAGAGAAGGAGTCCGGGGGTGGGACGTCTGACAGCATCCTCCCTTGACTTGGGGGAGCCTCAGGTGTGCCTGGGAAATCCCTTCAGTTAGAAAAGGCTGAGGGGGTCGGGCGTGGTGTCTCACGCCTGTAATCCCAGCACTTTGGGAGGCCAAGGTGGGCAGATTACCTGAGGTTGGGAGTTCGAGACCAGACTGGCCAACATGGTGAAATCCCATCTCTACTAAAAACAAAAATTTAGCCAGGCATGGTGGCGTGCACCTATAATCCCAGCTGCTGGGGAGGCTGAGGCAGAAGAACCACTGGAACCTGAGAGTTGGAGACTGCAGTGTGGAAAGATTGTGTCATTACACCCTAGCCTGGGAAAGATCAAAACAGTGTCTTAAAAAAAAAAATGACTGCCAGGTGTGGTGGCTGGCACCTGTAATCCCAGCACTTGGAGAGGATGAGGTGAGTGGATCACGAGGTCAGGAGATCAAGACCACCCTGGCCAACATGGTGAAACCCCGTTTCTAGTAAAAACACAAAAATTAGCTGGTCATGGTGACGCACGCCTGTAATCCCAGCTACTCGGGAGGCTGAGGCAGGAGAATTCCTTGAACCCAGGAGGTGGAGGTTGCAGTGAGCCGAGATCGCGCCATTGCACTCCAGCCTGGCTGACAGAGGGAGACTCCGCCTCAAAAACAAAACAAACAAACAAACAAAAAAAGGGCTGAGAGACTGTGGGAGGAGACATCACAACAGGGTCCTCGCTCAGCCTGGTCATGGCTGTGTCTGAGAGATGAATGGTCACCTGCTGATTTCCCTCATACAGAACAGACTTTCTGATTCCTTCCTGGCAGGGGGGGACAGGGGTGAAGAGAGGCAGGGGAGGGAGACTTTGAGTTCAAGGCTGTGGGGTGGGCAGAAGGGATGGTGAGGGGGCAGGGACCTGGGGTGGGGGTCTCTGGAGCCCTGAAGGACACCTTTGAGGTAACCCACCAGGGAAATTCCACCATACTCCCAGCCAGGCCCTCCAAGTCTGCTTCTGCCTGCCCAGCCTTGACAGAGGAGATCTGCTTTACCCGGCCCGCACCTGTTGTGAGAGGGGTACAGGCTGGGAGGAGCTGATGAGACAGTTTCAAGGGCTGGAGTGCCCAACTCTGTGGATTTGGGGACATTATGAGAGTTTATTAATAACACATAGATTCCCTTTAAGGTAATATACAGGGAAGCTGTGGGCCTCCTCATCCCTGCTCCCCAGGCCTGGCCCAGCTAATCCTGGGGCCTCTTTCTGGTCAGATTATCCAAGGAGAGGGTGGTGGAGGTGATGACAGCGATGATGAAGGCCCCAAGAGTCAGCAGGTGGCATTGCCTCTGTGTCCCCAGGCGAGTGTTAGAGATGACCCCCAAACAACCCAGAGCCCCCGTCCCTCAGTTGCTTATAATTGCGTGGCCAAGATAACACAGGGAAATCCCTTCGTGGGCACAAGAGTCAGAAAAACATCTATCTACAGCAAGTGCAGAGAGCAGGAGGGAGAGGCCAGGCAAGTAGGGCCACTGCGGAAGGCTCTGGAAGGTCTGATTAGACCCAGAGTCCCCTGCTCTCCTCTCGCAGAGGGCTCTGCCGTTCACAAAGCCACTTTCCAGCAGGCAGCTCATATGATTCTCACAAGGAGGACTGTGTAAGGAAGTCAGGGCAGATGAGGAAATGGAGGCTTAGAGAGGATGAGACATTTACCTGGGGCCACACGGCAAATAATTAACACAACCAGCACTTGACAGTGGATTTGAGCCCTGCGCCTATCCTCCGCCTCTAGAGGACCTCAGTTCTCTGCAAACCATCCCCGGCTCCAGGAATGTATTGCGGGTCCTTGGGGAACAGTTCAGATGTCAGATCAGAGACTGCCAGTGGCATCTATAGCCTTTTTTTTTGGAGACAGAGTCTCTTCTGTTGCACAGGTTGGAGTGCAGCCACATACTCTTGGCTCATTGCAACCTTTGTCTCCAGGGTTCAAGTGATTCTCCCAAGTACCTGGGACTACAGGTGTGTGCCACCACGCCCAGGTAATTTTTTTTTTTTTGTATTTTTGGTAGAGACAGGCTTTTACCATGTTGGCCAGGCTGGTCTTGAACTCTTGGCCTCAAGTGATCCACCCGCCTTGGCCTCCCAAAGTGCTGGGATGACAGGTGTCAGCCACCGTGCCTGGTCCACCATCTCTAGCTTGATTTCCTTCCTACTCTCTGCAGCCTCTTCTGGGTACTCCAGCACACACTGAGGACTGGCGAGGTTTTGGCCAAGCAGACAGGAGAGCAAGGG